CCAAAAAACGTATTTAAATAAAATCAATTAAATAAAAATTCAATTTTTGTCTATATGTTTGTACACTATGATTCCAAAATGGTCCATCTTTAGGGATGCAGCCGAGTCACCGAGTGAAGCAAGGGAAAGCAGCTAGTTCAGACTAAAAATCACAGTGGTGAATGTTGTGGTGTTAGTAAGTGGGTGACAAATACAAAACGAGTGAAGCCGAAGACAGTAGCTAGTAAAAGCTATAAAATAACATGGATTCAACATGTAATATCGTAAAAAGCAATTAAAGCAGTAACATAAAGTTAATTGTGCACTGCTACTATCTGTGATTGAGATATCAATAAGGTTAATTGAGAGATTTAAGGTTTATCTTGAAGAATGGTCCTCTTTGTTCTGGTGTGAGCCGACGGTAATCTTTGTAATTCGGCTTAAGGTGAAATATGCTTAAAAATGTATACAAAATAAATTCGATGTTTACACATCACTATTCTAGTGTTGTATCTTATATAATATGCATTACTTTTTTCTTTAGATAAAATTCAACATTTTGATTATAAGAATGCTAAGTTAATTATGAAACAATTCAGCTATTTTTAATACGAATTTGTGTTCAGAAATTAACATATTTAATTATTTATAAACCAAAATACATATTATATTTTTCAATAAATTATAAATGTTTGTTTTTTTTTATTTAAATACAACATTTTATTGAAATTAGCAATCCGTACAGGATTGCTAATTTAATCGTAAATGAAATCGTAAGACCTGCTTTGTGGAAAACCATAAAATAAAAATCCTATTTAACTATAGCTTATAGTTAAATAGGATTTTTATTTTATGTTATAATTTTTTTTCTATTTTGAATCAACTCGAACAAACATCGCCTTAAGATCGTTAAATTATAATCGTTGTATGTTTACAGAGTTCGTTTTTTAATACTTTAAATTTACTAAATTGATCATAAAACAGCGAAATGGTTGCATCCAAAGCGCGTTGTACGTTCATTTTATATGAATCACTAGTTGTTACATTCGACTTCGTTTGGAGTAGATACTTCTACTGATAATTTTACATAATATAAAGAATTGATTTTTGGCGAAATATTTACCTATTAAAATAGGTTAATTTAACTTTATTTGTATTGTTGTCATGTAAATAACATAATATGCCTAGGTTAGTCGTCTAGATATGTTTTAAATAGATATAAAAAGTTATTGTGAGTGTAGTTTGTTGCTCTTTCTATTAGTTACTTCAGTATCAAAATCCGTTGCGTGATTGAGAAGAAGGAAGCGGAAAAGCAAACAGACAGACCGGGACTTTGTTATATACTATGTAAGATGTATGTAGGTATAGATATAGATAAGCGACTTGCGAACAAAATTTTGTATACCCAAGAAAATGAAAGAATTTACCGAACGAAATTGTTAAATATGTATGTTAATTTATAATCTTGCTACTAATAGTTTTTGCGGCTCGGCCGAAGCAGTTATTGTTTTCCCGTGGGAATGATATTTTTTCTATACCTAGCTATAGTAAAATATAATAAGTTATCACTACACAGAGTTTAATTAAAATTCTAAGGCCTTTTCAATTAAATACACACAGATATACAGACAAACAGACAAAAATTTAAACAATTATTCTTTTAGGGTACTTATATAAATTCTGTACACGATACGTAACAGCCATTGTTTTTTTTTAAATATTTATTGCACACATTTCGCTTTGTTACTATTATATTATATGTATAGATTTGGAGTAAACAATAATTACTATTACTCGCATTTAATAAGGAGTACATTTTTATTTCCTTTAATAGGCATATGTATGTATGTATGTAATATGTATTTATGTATCTATCAACCAAGTTATTGTTAACTTAAGTAACTATACATAGTTTCTTTCTAAATTTAAAACTTACTAAGCTAAAACTTTGAGTAGCACAAAAAAGGTCAATCACGAAAAATTCCAAGGAAGATTCCCAGAAATAAATATCAAAAAAAGATCGCCATCGTACCATATTTTACACTAATTATAAAATGTCAGAAATTAAATCAATTACTTTTCGACGGGATCGGCGTTTTTACCTTTTTGTTATCAAATAATAATAAATAATGTCGCGCAGCAGGTGAGGATAGGCCCTTTTGTGTGTTTGTACGTAACAAAAAACATCTTTATGTCTTGTGATTTGGTCAGTGTTATCTTTTAACAAAATATACTCTATGGAGCAGCGTGAAATAGTTCATTGAGGTAAATACAAGAGCTGATATATTATTTGCTATTTCTGTTTTGTTTTAATAATATAAGGTTTTTATTTTAATTTAAGCAAAGCGAATAATCTAGAAGATCCGTATGGATCTGATAGATATTACATGAATGTTTACAAAAGTGAAAACACTTACCTACTTATTTAAATCAACCTCTCTCTTCCCACATAAAACATACTGAATTCAGATTTTTTCTGTTTTATTATTTAACGAAAAATTAATCTTAATATAAATAAATTTAGAAAAATGCAAGTATACTACATTAAAATAAATAATTAGTTAAAAATATTATTTATATTTTCTTTAAAAAATTATAAAATTTTATTTTGTCAAAATTATTAATATACATATATAAAAGGTAATAGCCCCTCACAACATATCGCCAGGGGTCAGGTAAAGGAGGATTTTTACCGATTTTTTTGGTAGCGACGAGTGGAGATCGTTAAGTGAAAAAGGACCAGTTTCGGTCCTTTTGTAGGCCAAATGTTAAAATCCGGACGGTAGCGGCAACTACATATTATCAGGCTAATTAATCGATGTGTTTTCACAAGCGGATTTTGAAACTTCTTAATCGACTAGCCTTTTTATAATATATTGTGAACATAGCTTAAATCTAAATGGTTGACAAAACTTAAGGTAATAGTGTTGTAGAATGATTCAGTAGATTTCTTAAGAACTGTGGTTCCTACGTGGTCAAAATTGTTTTGGTTCCATTTTTTTTAATGTGTATAAATCGTAGAAATCTTCGATAAATATTATATAAACTAGCAGGACCCGCGGCTTCGCTCGCGCAAAACTATAAAAAAAACTTAAAAAAAAGGCAGGTTGCATACAAACTCTCATCCCCTATTTTACTGTCACTCTCCAGTACTTCAACTATATTCACACAAAAATCACGTCGATCCATCACTCCGTTTCGACGTGAAAGAAGGACAAACAAACACACATTCACATTTATAATATTAAGTATTAACTCTTTAACTTTAAACTGTATATAGATCTGTTTAAAAACTTTTTCAGGTCCAACTTTTTTAATTACTGACAAAGTTCATATAAAACGTTTTTAAAGCTTACGTAATAATACGTAACGTTAATAACGAAGCCATGTAATAACAATAATAATTATAAATTTACCTTGCACATGGCACACCTAAAGCATTTACATATTCTATGAAAGCATATTTTAATTTTTATAATGATGACATTTTTGCTTTTTCTCAAATATTTTGTCTTAGTGCTAAGTGCTTACATTCTATACAAGCGAGGTTTTAACAATTTTTTTTTTAGACTTTATAATTAGACATCTTAGTGTCCAATCTAAGTAGCACAAAACACTTTTCAAAGACATTAATACCATGTGGTATAAGTGTGGTTGTGTTTCTTGTTACTTACAACTTTCTTTGACTATAACTTTATGTTAGTCATATCAATAAGACGTTTTCCCTAAACTATCTAAATAATCTACTAATTTAACCGCTTTGGCAACTCGAAACCGTCAAATCGGCGGAGACTGGGAATAAAAAGAGTGGAATGGTAAAACCATATTATCTACTTCTCTAATTTGTTTTTAAAATGGTAACAGTTGTAAAACATATCATGAGGAAATCTGCAAGTCTGAGACAACCTCACTAGTTTTCGAGAGACATGTGAAGTCCGCCAACCCGCACTTGATCAGCATGGTGGTATATTGCCTAATCCCCCTTGTATTGAAGGGATCCTCGTGCCCAGCAGTGGGATGTTAATAAGGCCGAATTTTATAATGTGTTTGATGCTTCAATAAAAGAAAGAAAGATCGATCTTATAAAACACTTAACATAAAAATTATCTATCCAAGTGCTACTTCCTAATACAGAACATCAAGTGTGTAGCATTCATAAATAATAAAACACGAATCGATTTAATGCCCATAAAAAATATCGACTCAAATTGAAATCGACCGAAACACATTAAGAGTCGCGTTGACAAAACATGATAAATGATCAAATAAAAATATACTTCATAAAAATTCATTCCCATTATTAATTCTCATATGTAAAAAATGAAGAATGTCCGGGTTTTTGTTAATATTACCTTTATATAAAATCGTTAGCCACACTCGAAGATTCCGACCCGTCGATTAAATTACATGAACTTGTGCCTTTGAACAAGAAATTTAATAGAAATAGAATAATAGAAAAAATATATAGGTAGGTACATTTATCAAAATTTATCAAAGAAGATTTCTTCAACTTTTTGGAAGAATTTTCAACGATATTTATCATTTGGCGGAAAAGGTTATATAATTTTAGAATTTTTACTTAAATAAAATTTCGCATAATCAAGAAAAAACAAGCAAAACATTTAAAATATTTACAAATAATAAAATAATTTTTGACTTTTATCAAGTTAATTAAGAAATAGGCCACTTCTAAGGTAATAATTATTCTTAGTCAATAAAGTTAAGTTTTTATATTCAGTTGAAATGCCACCTTCACTGTGTTGAAATGTTGGTAATATTTATTACGATTATATTAATGTAATAGATATAACTTCAGCCATAACTCATTGTTTTATGTTATGTGTAATTATATTTAGCGAGTGAAAGAAATGGCGATATAACCGAGTACGATTTAGTCGTGGAATATGGATCCACTAGAACATCTTACCGTTTTTAAAAGTTATTGGGTATTTAATAACAAGTGGTTAATCACTTCATTATTTAATACATTCTAATTTTATTAATTATAAGAATTTTGATCAATTTTCTTTTATGTCCTTATTTATATGAATTTTCCTAGATTTCATATGCGCCATGAATATCGTCCACACAAAACTCGCCAGACTGACGAAAACTATTCTATTTTTTTCAGACACAAAATAAAAATTCACCGTCTGAGCTGTCGGCCAGAAGATCACACCCACTTTGTATGTCGGCCAGAACTTCTCCTTCACTTCATTAATGCAAGACTTCAGCGGTTTAATTTCAAGAAGACTCATCCCGAAGAAAAAATATGCCATCGCTACAGGAGAATATGAAACTTGCTCCAATAAGGCTCTAGTTACAGCAGTTTTTAAATCTTTCTTTTTAAAGAACCTGCTCGTATACTTCATCCAGCCGTAAAATACGGGCGCCATGAAAAATGTGCCGAAAATTCCAAATCGAGCGGCTCTAGCCCAATTAACGGTATCTAAGTTGCCGTACTCTATGTATTCTTGCACTATGCTGCAGGTCGGCCAAATAATCGCGTACGATATCATTCCCCGGACGAGCGGGAATTGAGTTTTTAGATGCAGAACTTTTGTTAATATAGTCATCATAAATTTTGTTGGTTTGACACATTGACAATTTTAAGTTTTTTATATTCTTTTTATTTGATAGAACATAGACAATTTTGTATTCTAATAAGTTATCATTCATTAATCTTCTTAGAATTGTCTTGTTATTAAAGTTTCTAAACTTGAACAAATTATAATTAATTAGAACAACTTTAAAGCGTTAATAAATGTGCCTGCCTTCTCTAATACACCCAGTTTTTATTTTTGCTTGCAGAATGCAGAAGGCATTTGTATCTATAAAAATACAACAATGCGTTTTAGTGCTGTGATTATCGACGTCCTTTACGTTCATACAGATGAGAATCGGACTACAATTGTAATTTTGAAAATGTATGTGTGTATGTATGATTGTTTCGTCTTTACATGTAAACGGCTGGACAGATTTGGATAATATTAAGTACACCGAAAGAAAATGACCTAGAGTAATACAGAGACTATAGGCAAGTAGAGATGCACCCGAAATAAGCGAAGGAAGTCGCCAGTTACATGTAATGATTTAAACAAAATCATAGAATCTTAATTTTTAAACCGTATTATCTACAATAAGGTTAAACGTGATACATAATTATCTTCCGCTAATCACCGATGCGGCCACACAGAGCGACGGTCACTTAGAACAATCGGTTTATTTTATTATCTTATGGGATGAATAGTATCGATCCGACTTTGAGATATGGACAGATGACACAGCACTTTTTCACTAATAGACATTACAGTAACTTTGTCTGACTAAAAATAGTAGGTATTATTTATTTATCTTAATAAGGTTTGCTAGTGGTTATTACATGTTTTACACGAAATGATTTAAGTTAAATAACTAAAAATTCACAATTATGCATGACCATTTAAAAGCAAACACAACTTGCATATCCTAGTGTTCGTTTTCACAATTATGAAGATTTTAAAAACATAATAATATTCTAGTTTAATCATTAGCTTAAATAAATTAAATAAAGTATTACATGGTAAATACCTTGTAAATATAAGAAAATAAATATATTATTTACCAAAAATATTTATTTTTAACATAAAATACCTACAATCCATAGACTATAAAAGGTTTTTTATGGTTAATAAACATACACTATAATATTAATAATTAAGTATATAAATTATTCATAAATATTAAATAGTTTATTTTTTATCACAGAGATAATTTGTTAGCAGATAGAGCAGTTTTTACTTTTTTATCACATCGCTACTTTCACACAACTGCCAGCACCGCAGCGGGCATGATTAGTCAATTATCAGATAATTAATCAGATAGCAATTTGTATCTGATTTATTTTTGATAGAGAGGAGACACAATATTTTTCTTAATAGATCTTAATGTGTTTTATTAATCTGGAAGAGATACGATTTAATGAGCACACGCAATCATAGACAGCTAATTGATATCACAGATCACATAATTATGTGGCGTGGCCAATTTTAATTATCAAGAATTTGTTGTTTTTATCGTTTATTTTAGCAATAAGAAGCTTCGTTATAGATTAATATATGAATATAAATTATGTCTATTTATTAGAAAAATTGTAGGTACGTTCAGTTTTTCAATAAGTAAGTATAACTTTTCGTTTTTAACAAGTAAATTACAATTTTTTTTGAACAAATATTCATTAAATTGACTCTCCTGTAAAATTAAGAAAATGTCGCTTAGACCAAATAGCCTTTCACCCGTCGATATTATTATAAATAATGCGCCTTAAACGTATTTTCTAACATTAATAAAAAGCGTTTAAAAAAAGGCTTATCTTGAATGATGCTACTCCAGCTTACAACCGCGTTTATTTTATCAATGTTACGAATTATCTAAGGGGAAGGTTGTCTATAATACAAATAATAGAAAATGAAGCTTTTTACACGAAATATCTATAATTTATACACAATTTTCTTTAACATCAATCTTCAACTAAATATAGTTTAAACGCGTTGTTGTCGATTTTTGTTCATACTCAGTCTTCACTATCGCAATCACTTCAGTATCGTAAAATAAATTTATAATCTTAAACTTGAAACATTAAGAACAATATAGTATAAACGGTATAAGCACGAAAAGTTTTAAGTGTGTACTGTAATTAGTTTTTTAATCTATTAATGACAAATACAGTAGCAACGCCATCTTGTATCCGTTTTTAAAACCAAACCAAGAATACATTTTTTTTAAACTTTTGAGTAAAAATAAAAGTAAAGCAGCATAATGTTCTTCTTTTGAAGAAGAAGAAGCATAATATTGAATCATCACAAAACTAAATATGTAGTTAGAAAAGTTGTTTATTATTTTTCTACTTATTGTATATATATTTATATATTACGCCATCTAGCGTCGTAAGCTGTATTTAATTATAAAAAAAAACGCATATGGTGCCATCTATTAAGTTTGACATAAACGAAATCGCTACACTAAGCGCCATCTCTCGAGTAGCAGTTAAACTACATTGTAATATGAAAAAAATGATACAAACTAGTACAGCTACTGAACACTGAGCGTCACTAGTTGTTAATAAAAATTTCAATTATTTCGATCAATATATCCTCTTTTATTTACATATTTCAAAACAATATTGAATTGTTCTACTAGATATTATGGGTTTATTAAACATATTCCACATTTGTTTGCTATTTATAAAAAGAAAATCACTGATCACTTGAAGTTTCTTTTAGTTTCTTTTTATTTCTAAGTTAGTTTTATTTTTAGATATAAGCAAAAATTTTGAGTATTATCTGACATCTGTCTACATATCATCATTTATCTACACTTCTTATTGATATACATCATCATTCATAATTATTTTGTATCTTGTTAGTGTATTAATAAATAAATAGGTACATAGAGTTTAATGAATATTAAGCGTATTCGGAATCTAACGTTAATTAGAAATATGTGCGGATATAAATGCGTATTTAACAACACTAAAATAAATATTTACACACATACACAACTTTTCGATATCTTTTTTGGAACAGGCAGAGGAAATAGAGAGCCAAGAGCTACGAGCTCTACATTCCTCTTTCGCTCCTTCCATCGTTATCATTCACTTTGGACTGGACATTGTTTAAATATCAAAAGCACTTGGTCTTCAAAAGTCCACCGAGATCTCCCAATACTACTGTTTTTAATCACTTTCCACGATATACATAATATGTACCTATATCTTCACCATTCTTTCTTCATTCTTTATATGACATTTATTTAAACTTGCTATTCTATGAATATTTAAGATTCTAATATTTTAAGAGAATAGAACTTCCAAAATACTTTCGACAAAAATTATTTTGAAGAAGTTACATTAGCTACTTTTTAACCGATTGCGGCGACGCCAAAGGAGGTATGTATGTTTTTATGTATGGCATACCTACATTGTATGTTCGTCCGATCCGACTCTTACTGACTCCAGCTTAACCGATTTTATTGATTCATACTTCATTAGATTCGTCTTGATCACACAGTCACAGGAATATGTATATAGAAATAATTAAAAATCAAAATGGCCGATTTCAGACGCCTTTTTGTGTATCTTTAAAAAAAGTTTAAACCTATTAAGTGAGGTATCAAAATAAAGGTTTTTAAGAGATGACCGCAAAATTGCTTACAACTTATGTCTTTAAAAGTAATTTTGGATAAGACATAGTTAAATGAAACTCCAAACGTCTAACTGGCCAAAACTAAAAAGTTGTAAATAAAAAATATATTCACAAAAGTAAAAAGCTTGGCTGCGTAAAAGTGAACAAAAAAGATGGGAACAAGCTGACGAAGTATAGACGATATTCGTAATCAATGTATATACCTACCACATATTTTGTACATTATATAGGACGCTTTACGTCAACGTTTGACATAGGTATGCTATGCCAATTTGAGTAATAATAATTAATAATTGAATGTGAAATGTAGGGACTATCTATCTATATATGTAGACTATTATATTATGAGAATTTAATAGAACTTTAATAAAACTTTCTAGAACAAAATGCCACATGCCTAAAAAATTGCAGTTATATCACTATATTTTACTTGCTTTTAGAATAATTAATATTCTTGCGCACATTATATAATAATCCTACCAAGTCGTAAAATTTAGATAAGTAAAAGTGTGTTATTTCAACAAGAGCGGACATTAAAATGATGAGGTTTTCTACAAAATAATAAAATAGGGCTGACGCCTTCCGGAATTGATTTTATGATCTCTTAATTTTTTCCATTCCTTCCGTAACTTGAGACGCGTAGCTCATGCCGAGCCCGTGCCTCCTCGAAGTGAATCTGCAGCTTTACACTGTATTGAATAACAATTGTTTTATTTCAAAGTACTAATATACGTTAATTATAATTTTCTTAATGTTAGATTAGTTATCTATACTAATATTATAAAAAGGCAGAGCTTGTTTGTTTGTTCGTTCGTTTGTTTGAACGCGCTAATCTCTAGAACCACTAATTCAATTTGTAGAATTATTTTTGCATTAGATACCCTGTTTATTGAGGAAGGCTAGGCCAAATATAATCATTAATCATGCTACTACCCAAGTAATATAATATATCTATTCCATATTAACCGTTGAGACTAAAACATACCGTAGTTTTTTTTACATACATACATTTTATCATAATAAAGTGTAATAGGTATTGGTAAATGGTATCAATGCGGAAGGCCAAAAAGGCAAAGAATTCAAAAGATATTTAGGAGAGCAATGCCACGGGTAGTTAATAATATTAAAAATAATATAATGTTAATGTTTTATTTTTAACTAGCAGAACCCGCAGCTTCACTCGCACTAAAACTACAAAAAACCTCTAAACGGGTAGTTTCATACAAACTTTCATCCCGAATTTTACCACTTATGGAATGAATTTCGAAAAATGCTAAAACACATATTTATTTAATTTTATTGAAGAACATTAATACCAATTTTGAAGTAATTCTGATCATGAATATTTTTTTAGATTGTATTATAACGTGTTTCCCCGTGGGAAAGAGATAATCTCCGGATAAAAGTAGCCTATGTCACTATCCAGCCCTCCAACTATCTCCACCAAAAAAATCACGCCAATCCATCACTCCGTTTTGACGTGAAAGAAGGACAAACAAACAAACAAACAAACAAACACACTTTCACATTTATATTATTAGTATGGATATTAACTACTTCCCCTTTCTATTTAAAAGCTCTCTCTCTCTCTCAAGTGACATTGATAAAATATTTGCAATCAGTAAAAACTGCAACCGCAATGGTAGTATTACTTTAAAAGGAAAATATGATTTTCTTAATTATTACCTAATTAAAACTTTCACTAACGAAAGTACCTACCAAATGGTAAAAAAAATTATGTAAAAATATTGCTAAAATCGTAACATATATTTATTAACCTACAAGTTTGGGCTCATTTGATTCTTTTCGACAGCGTCTTTTTTTTAGTTTTAAAGAAAACTATTTTTTTGGATTTATTTTATTTTTGGTTCGAATGTTTTACAGCAGTCATGGTCACGACAGGAACTATCGTCATCAAAACAAATCCGTGACAAAACCGGAAAGACAGTTTTATTTTAAATGTCAAATTCGGGTAAATCTAATAAGAAAGTCTTTTTAGTTTTTTGGATACTATAATTTTAATAAAAACAATCAAATAACAAATGTTAAAACTCAAATAAGTACCAACTAAATTCACACAGTACTCAATACCTCCCTAATATGAATTTTGATTTTTAAGTTAAAGGTTTTCTAAAGACTTCATCTTAATTATGCCCACTTCAACATATTTTAGTCGTAAATAACTCTTAACGATCTGTTAAAATCACTTGTATGACGTGAAGGTATTTGTTTTGCCATAAAATAGCGATTTTATTGTCCATTTACGTAATAGCTTTGTTGATAATAATTTTTGTGAAAAAAAATCAAAACACAAACTTTTTTATTACAAAATATAATATATGTAATTAAAAAACATTATAATTGCCCAGAACATTCAAAATTATCAATTTCCAGGGCTCCATTATGGGAATATATACCTAATAACTATACAGACTAAATAAAAATCGATAGAACTATTAAAGTATGATTTTTCTTTCCGACTTTCCTTTGACTTAAAAGTCAACACAGCGACTTAAATAAAGCATATAATCGATTTAAAAATCGAAGCCAGTATGATGGTAAGCTCTAAGTACTTAGTTATTAGTTTACCGTGAGACGTATAAAGGAATAAAAGCTTTTAATAAAACGAAAACCACGTGCGTACAAAAAACGTATACTAAATATATTTTTTTTCAATTTTTTATTTCAATGAAACTTTAGTCGTTATTTTAAGTCACATGAATTCAAACACGATAATGCTTCAGCCCTCGGTCTTACTCGCCCTCATATCTATATCCGCTATAAAATCCTGACTCGTGACTAGAAAATCCAATGTATCCAATATATATTAAACAAAGTATCCATGTATCCAATGATATATTCCATGATATATTCCATGTATCCAATGATATATTAAACAAAGTCGGTATAATTTTGGTTTCAATATAAAAAATGATTTGCAATATAATTGAAAAAAATATTATATAGGTACTTACTTAAATAGTAGATTCACATTCTATATGTATAATAAAACCCTAACTGAGTCGGATCTGTACATTATTTTTTTTTTAATTTTTGGAAATCTTATCGAAATATTCATCATTATCGATACAGAGGCCGAATCTATAGTTTTTAGAATTTTTGTCTGTTTGTCTGTCTGTCTGGAAACGTATCGCGAGAAAACCACTGAACAGAATTTGATGAAATTTGGAATAATGATAGTTGGTTCTCCAGGTCAATAAAATATAGGATACTTTTTACTACGGAAAAATATGTCATTTCTAAGAAATCTTTACTAAACGTTAAAACGTAACTAGGGGCAAACCCGAGCGGAGCGAGGGTAAGTCGCTAGTTATGAAATAATATTCTTAGGTCTATGAACCATGAATAGAACAAAAATACTAAAACTAAAATAAGTTAAAAGTATATTTTAAACATATCATATCACTTTATCCAAAGAATTTGGAATTAACTTTCTCCTTATGTATTTTTCTTTATATACCTAGTCGTAACATTCTTATCATTGTTCAAGTCGCTTAAATGAATATCATAGCTTTCGTGAAATCAGGTAGATATATGTAAGTAGGTGTATTACATAAATTATTGTATATATATTGTATTCGTGTAAATATCTAATTCTTTGTGAAAATTTATATAAAAACTTGTTATAGTTTAATAAATGATTATATAAAATATAGGCAGTGGTAGCCCAGTGATATTGCACTTGCTTACGAAATCAGGTTTGAGTTCAAATCCCGGATTTCGATCTCTTACATTATCATGTGGTAAATAAATATCAACACGATTACCATTTATCTTACGATGAAGGAAAACATCGTGAGGAAACCTGCATGTTTGGGAGAACTTAGCAAGTTTTCAAAAGACATGTGAAGTCCGCCAACCCGCACTTAACCAGCGGTATAGATTCGTATTAAAGGGAGATCCGGGCCCAGCAGAAAATGAATATATACCTTTATAAAATAAAATAAATATAAAAAGTTATACGTCTTAATTATTATTGATGTAATATAAAAACTAATATGGACTCTATTTCAGTTAATTTAATCTTAATATTCTCTTCTATTTTAATATCATCTTATGTGATTTGTTATTATAATTCGCCGCTACCAATTCACACTTCACATGACAACATAAATAAACAAGTCAAGTGAAACTTCTCAAGTCATATCGGGAGTAAACAAAACGATTACTAATTACTAAGTTTGAATCGTATGTTAGTAATCTATACTAATATTATACAAAAGGAAAAAAATATTTTTTATATGTTTGTTTGTATCGAATACTACTGACCGTAACTACTAAACCAATTTAGATGGAATTTGGTAAGAAGATAGTTTGACACACTGGGAAGGACATAGGATAGATTTTTTCCGGAAATCATCCCTTAAAGGCCTGAAAATGGGGATGAAAGTTTGTATGGGGAAGCAACGTAGGCACGAACCCGAGCGAAGTGGGGTTGAGTCGCTAGTCCCACATAATCGAAATTATTAGTCCAGTCTTATATCTGCTAAAAAGTTAAAACATCTTAATGAATATAAACATTTCTATTAATTATAATTTGTTTTCTTTTACATCGGTAATTACAAAATCTTACTATTATAGTGAGAATAAAATGACTCTATATTTTTTATCATTACTTTTAGTTGTATAAAGTCAGGTTAAAAGCAATTTACTTTTAACACCATTCTACGGTCTTTCTAGATCTTTATTTGAAATAAATAAACCTATTAAATACATAATATACAATCATTTAAATCGACTAACATTTGGCCAAGGTATCGTCTAACATATGCAAATACACAAACTCTAATTGAGTACCTCTTACTTTTCGAAGTCCGCCGAAAACATCTGGAAAGTACTTACCTACCGCATACCTACCGTATGTATTTTTTTAATATTTAAGCAACTTCAATCTCTTTTTATTATGTTCAAATTCAACTATTTTAATAAGAAATACAAACTATAATGCATAAATTAACATATTAGAAAATGACAGAACTCCATATTTGTTATCCAATTTTGAAATGTTAAATGTATACTTTATTTTTATATATAGCAGTACCAAAATAAAATTCACATGCTCCAACTCAATTTATTAACCAAATCACTTTCGCTTAGCGCCATGAAAAAAAAACTTATTTGCGTCAATACAAAACTCATTAGCGATAAAGAGATCAAACTCTGACAGGATGAAATCATCCGTGTATTTAACTATTTACACTACAGCCCTAAAGTCTGACAGAGACGGGTAGAGAAAGTCCTCTATAAGTGAGAAAAGGACGAGTATAAACACCATGGCTCCGCCCAAAACACTGTAAGCATCGTGGATTGGCTTCGGGGCCCAATCTCTGACACCATCAGTCTTCCATTGCAAGTCATTAGAGCCACAACTTAATTAAGCGTACAATTAGACACAGTGAGTTATGAAAGTGATTGCGTGAAAATGGACAACTACGAACAACATAACGAGGTGTCTACATCTTACAACAATAACAATATGAAGCACAACTTCAATGAATGCAAAAACGATTTCTACGAGTACGATGTCCGACAAAAACTCGAGAAAGACTATTATGAAAAAAATTATAGAATGAAACTAGACGAACAAATGAATCACGCGAATTTAAGTACGCCGTTTTCTGTCAAAGATATACTAAACATAAACCAGACCCCATATCATGAACGGAGCGATGTGTGGAAGCCGAACGATAGACGGAGCTCCGAATATGAAACCTTATACCATCAAAGTCAATATTGTCCAGAATATTTCAGCCAAGTGTACACAAACATACCGGTACACAACGAACCTTATTGGAATCCAGACATGTATCATGAGGCCATGGAAGAATACTATAATTATAATCCATATAGTCATAACTTATACCATCAAAATCATGAATATTCTGACTTGCCATCTCATAACATGAATGTATCAGTAAAACTAGAGAATAACAATGAAGTTCTATCTCAAACATCTGGGTTAGGAGTAAGAGTGATGGAAAAAAGCATCCAGCAATTAGGACCAGAACATTCTACTTACTCAGAAACGCTACAAAAATTTCCAACGATGACTAAAAAACTTCCAAGTAAGTATGGTTTGTAAGCTTTTATTATGTCAAAGAAGACCTAACGACCCACCATTACTTACACAAAATAGAAAGAAATCTGTAAAGAAACACTAATAATATAAAAATAAAAACTTCGGAGGAATATTTTTTGTAATTGAATCAATCAAACATCAATTACTTGTATCAATGATAATTATATTTTCATAAAGTTTAGTCTTTTTAATCGTATAGCCATATGCAATCAAGCTCTTTTACAATAACTGCATGATCTCACTATTTTTTTGTTTCCAGAGCCATCTCCATGCAGCAGCAAGCAAGATAGAAAAGAGAAAAATATTAAACGGAAACCACGAATCCTGTTTTCACAAACTCAAGTCCACGCCTTAGAAGTGCGTTTCCGAGCACAACGTTACTTGACAGCGCCGGAAAGAGAGCAACTTGCAAAAACCCTCAATTTATCGCCAACCCAGGTCAAAATATGGTTTCAAAATCGACGGTACAAAAGTAAACGAATCAAATCACCCGAAGTATCTACATCAACTGATGTAAAACCAACAAAGAATTTGGGAAGAAAATTGTATAGAACGGAAAATAAAGACTTACCACCCCCATACGAAGCATATAAAGTCGACAATATTGTTGATAGTGATAACTTATCCACATCTATAAATTACTTCGACGAAAGTCTTTCTTATGAGGAAAATAACCCTGAAAAATATTTCCCAAAAAATTTAGACCAAAATGTAGGCACTTCGAATATGACTGACATATATTCAACAGAAGCGAGTGTTAGAGAAGATTTATACAAGGATACGGAAATGAAAAAATACTTCCCAGTTACATATGTTTGTTGATAGTTTTTTTTAATTATTATTATTAAGAACCCATGCCGTATTAGACTGACTGCCAAAGAGTTTTATTTTGTTATTTTTTTAAGATTATTATTGTGTGCTTGTGCCAATTATAAATATTTGTGAATTGCTGTATGCCAAAGTATTAGTAATAATTTTTTATGTTTTTAAATAAATGCAAAAGACTGAATTAACTTTATTCGTTTATAAATGAAACCTCTAGGACATAAACTTATATATTTTCCTTTAAATTCTAATTATTTTACATATTTATTATTAATGTACCTACCTTCTCTAAAAAGCTAAAATTTTGCAAAAGAAGATAATAAATTTATATTTAAAAAATCTATAGTTAAATTTTTATTTTAAAAACATAATCTAACATTATGACATGATATAAATAACATTGATGTCAGAGTACTAATAACTACATTTTATAGGTGTTGTTGCATATGAAAAATGTAAAAAATAATAAGTCGTTCTAATTGCTAGATAGCCCCTCACCAATATATGAACTACTTGTAACTACAAAATTCATTTTAAAAAGTAAATACTCTTACATAAGCAATTGTTTTTAAATGTTATAATATATAATCTATTTAAATTCGTTAAATACTAAAAAAAAAAAGAAAATCACATATGACTTGTCGCTTCGTTTTAGTTTTTTGGTTCAATTTGTAAGGATTGCTCTTATCTGAATTGCTACCATACCACATCGATTGAGGGTTGTACGCAACAGCCGAGCAATTTTTAATCAATACCTGCTCAGATAGATAATATATATAATGGTAATTTTTTTAGCATTCAAAAACAACGTACTTTCAGGTTTTGTTTTCTTGCTTGGATTCCCGAATTTTCTTAAAAATAATGTAATAAACACAGAATACTTAATTAATTTAATATCAATATCAATTTTAAATAATATTTAATATGAAAATACAAACTTTCCTTAATTTGCAATGTTTTAACAATTAATACTTTTAAAGGTAAAAATATTTCTATAGTCGCTTAAATTTAATTATCCTTATATTCTGTATAAATAAGGCAATTTCTCAAATTATATTCATTTTGTAGATATTATTATTATTATTGTTGAATGTCATAAAGGCAAACGGTGATGAATAAAATAATATACATATCTTATATTGATTCTAAATAAATAAACGCGGCGGTTAAGCCGCTTGTCTACTGTATCCCATCCCTAAAGCGCCGGCGCCAAGATAACCATTGATGTACGCAACCTGCGGCCGCGTCCCGGGCTTGGGAAACTCTGCACCTGTGTTTAAAAGCTTTACGAGGTAAGCGTGCGAGCTTTTTCGGGCAATAAAAGTTTTAAAGTCATTTTTTATGGTGCTTGTATGTTTAATGTTTAGGATAATACTTTATGTGCAATAGTTACGGTTATAATTGATTTATAAAATCTTTAATGTAAACCTTTGTTTATATAATAGGTACTTTCTTAGATCTACGCGAATACTTGATATTTTAAATAAAACTATCTTTTCGGATTTTTTTATAGTAAAACAGAAAGTTTAGAATTGTTTGATTGTCAAATTGGGCCCTAATAACATCTTAAGAGATTATCTTTGAAGTAAATTAAGCTGTTATTGATGCAAAATTAAAAAAAAAACTTAATATATTATATTTTATAATACACCTTTGACTATCTATATACATAATAAAATAATAACTAAGCGAAATCTGTATCAGTCTCAGGTTAACATGTAGGATACCGGAAATATAGATACAGGAAAATCTTTTAATGCCATCTTTCATTCTTTTATTCCCATTCTTTCATTCATTCATTGGTCCTTATACAAAAATATCAATGATTTATTCTTAGATTATTACATATTAATAATCTAAGGATTTATTGCACAATAACTTTAAGTAGCAGGGTCATAGGCATTAGACACGTTACATACTATATTTTCTAAGATACAACTTATAGGTACTTAGTTTTTTTTATTATTTTTTATGTTCTTGTACTTAGTTTTTTTATTGTTTTTTTTTCAAATACGTAGGAAAACAGATTTGTTTTGTGAAAAAAATGTACTGAATATATTTTAGTATCTTAATGATGATAAAATATTCTTATACCACTAGCTTATTGTTAGTGCCATAAAGCATGAGTTTGCTTGGTACTGCCTATCTCCTAGACTACAACTATAGATGACAGAACACAACATTAAAGATTTTATTACTAGTTTATCTACCTGATCTAATCTCATTTGATTGTGCTTTTTGTACAGTATTTAGCAAACACTAAACAGCTACAACCTAAACTCTTAGAGATATGTTAGAAAGGTAGAGAAACAGTATTTACTATTTAGGGCTTAAAATATGGGTTCCAAAAAATTCTGTTTATGTTTTTCGAAGAAAATATAATTTAAAAATATGAAAATCAAATCATCAATACAGATTAATAAAAAAATAAATTTATTACATTTACTTTATTAATATTTGTTTACTTAGGAATTTTGAAAGTAAAATACTACTAGGTAGGTATATGTACGAGGTTTTGTTTGAAAATCGCCGTTCGCCGTGAAAATCTATCCGTTTCGACTTTCGTATTCCCTGATTTGAATCATTGGTCGGTTTGTATGATGTACGCGCACGTGGGTGTTTGATGTATTAATATCGTAGTGCTTTTAAGGTTATCGCTGTGTGGAAGGTGATCTGGCCCGATAGACCGATGCCATGCCACCCGGCCGTACAGGCACAGGGGATTGTGTAACTAATATTATTTTGTATACCTAAAAAATATTTTTTTTGTTATTAACTAGGTTATTGTGTTATTATAAATGATAAAACGTTTATCAATATTTATTATTGTAATTTATTTGAAATTGATTTCTTGCTGACAAGTTTTGAGCATTTTGACAAGCGCGAGCGGTAGCTTATAAACGATGTTTGGTACTGTTATACACTCGTAACATTTTGTATAGGACGTTACAGAGTGAGCCTCTTAAATCTAAATATATGTATCTCTTAACCCAGGGTTTGACAAAATAGGAAGAACATAATATGCTTGTGTTCATGTTATTGATGTTGAGGTGGGGTCATATTCCATCGAACAAGATTACTTTAAATGGGTTTATCAGAATACCTAACTTATCAAATATCTACATATTGCCCTGGATGATATTCAACATGCTTTGAACTGTCGACACATTAATTAATAGTAGTACAATTAGTGGTCCAGGTCATAGTTCCCCCTGACTGTTTTGACCTTGGCTGGTCTTGGTGTGGGGTCTCCTCATCTCGTTCGGCAATTCAGTCGGGTGTTAATCTAAGAGACGCACTGGAACATGGTGGGTTGCTGCTGGTACTTCTCTAATAGCAGAGTGGCCCGATCGTAGGAGCAACCCCCTAGTTATTATAGTTTACAGTAGAAGGCATCCATCGGGCCGTCGTGGTTAAATGCTTTAATGATAAAATAAAACTAAACTCATACTAGGTACTACTAAAGTAGATTATTACAACTGTTTACAGTGAAAATGATAGTTTACAAAAAATAAATTGCAAAAATACTTCATTTTAGTGTACCAAATTCTCTTTCGCCTGTACTCCATTACTAAGCCCCCGTACAGCGCTCGTTAGCTTTTATTTGGACGCCGGACTCCTGTAGCAGTTACACTGTCGGCCATGAGTAATCATTTAACAGTAATACAATATCGATATACTTACTATATTTATTTTGATTTATTATATAAGGAAGTAGTAATTTTACTGTTATTCTATTGAATTTGGTTAATGGCTTCACATTGAACATCAGTTTTGATTCACATACAATCTTACAAATGTTGGAAAGTTGTATAATATAGGTTTATGAAATATTTTATTTTTATATAAAAAAAGAAAATTATAAATATACCTAATTATATATACAAAACAAATGTACACTTAATTATTATCACTACATCACTACATATTATAAAAAAATAAAGTTCCCCGACGCGTCTGTCTGTCAGTCTGAACGCGATAAGCTCAAAAATTACCAAACAGATTTTCATACGGTTTTCACCAATAGATGGAGTGATTCAGGAGGAAGGTTTATGTGTATAAATTACGAGATTATTCTCCTTAAAATTATCTATTTAACTGTAGCGCCGCTATATATATATATACATATATATATCTGCCTAGGGACGCACCCCAGCGAAGCGAGGGTAAGCCTATTTTATTACTTACGATAACCTAGGTATTAGGTACTCCTCCCCCCCAACGTTCGTTCACCTTGTCGTGGTGGGGGGGCTCAGTAGTAGTAGCGAAGCTAAGAAACGCACAGGGAGGTTGCCCACTTCGGTGGGCGGTGGGAGGTAGCCCTCTTCGGGGGGCGGTGTACCTTGCGGGTTGCTCCTGGTACTTCTCTGATAGCAGAGTGGACCTTGGAGCAACCCCATGGTTGTGGTGGTCTGCTTTGGCAGACCTGCCGTCGGGGCGTCGTAGTTGAATGCGTAAGCGATCCTGCGACGCCCCATTAAGACGGGGGAAGGTTTGTTGGGTTTTAGTGGGTAGTACTGGCTGTATTACGCCGGTGAGTCCCACACGTCGTGCGCAAATGCATTTCCCAACGTTAAAAAAAAAAAGGTATTAGGTACTCCAGGTCACAAATCTATCTGTGTACAAAGTGTCATCCAAATCGGTCCAATTGTTTCGTACCGTAGACGTCCAAAACGTGAACAAGTAACAAATATAAATAAACACACATACAAATTTTCAAATTTATAATATTAATGTGATAATATAGCGGCGATAATAATATTTTGTGTCACTAACAGCGTTGTTTCTTTACACTTGCAATGCCTTCAAACTCTTAAAAAAATGTTTAACGCGCTTGGAAAAGTAATGTAAATAAATTCCCAATTAAACTAATCTATAAACGCTTGAAATATAAATAGCCATATCCATACTAATATTATAAATGTAAAAGTGTGTTTTTGTTTGTGTGTTTGTTTGCATGTTTCTTTGCTGCGGAAGAAATCTTGTTCCCACGA